GACAATATTATTTTCATTTAGGCATTATTAATCATTAATAATTAATGAAAATCACATTTAAATTACCTTAGGTAATCTTATTAAATTAACTCACTAATTATAAGCAATATAGTCAGCTATCCTCACCTTAAAATGTGCTACAATAGTTGCCTTTGCTAAGCCCCTCGATCAATCACCGTTCTAGGCCGATTGAAAGTAAAAATCCTGGACAGCAGCCAAAAGCCGGGCAGCTTTTGCAAAAGGTGGACAGCTTTCGGGCCTGCAGCTCGAAAACAGTCCCCAACAATGGCGGTTTTCAGGCGGTTTCAACTCCTATCGATTCCACGACTCTTCTAAGTTATATACCACCACTTTATATCAATATTCTACACTTTTAAACGTGTAGAATATCATGTTTAATCCACCATATGATTTCTTAAAAATCATACACAATAAAACTAGTTAAAGAACAATAGTTATGTTTTTACCTCTTCCTCTAGCTATTTTCTCTTGAGCTTCCTTGCCTCTTGCTTCCTTCAAGCTAGAGCCTTTGTGGGAGGTTTAATTTATCCTAGAGCTTCTCTCTCTTATGCTTGTTCGTGTGGTGCAGATGAAAGTGGATGTACCTTCACTCAATCAAACACCCATGTTGAAGTGTTGATAGGGCCATAAAGAGTGTGATTGTGTCTCCAATCACTCCCTCCTTCATAAGTCCGAATTTATCACTCAAGTTTGTCTCCATCCCATTATTTGGAGACCACAAATCATGTAGGAAAATCTCCAAGTGGGTGTAGGAAGTCCCTCCCAATTATTATTGTTATTTCTGGCAGTTTGGGTCAATATAGCACTTGAATTGTCCAAACATTTTCTACAACTTTAGTTGGCATTTCATTGGGCTTCTAAAATTATTACGATGACCCAACTAATTATTTGGTAGTCCATTCTCAATATTATGAACCCGATAAATAATTTAATTAATCACGCATTAATTAAATAAAGCATTCTGCTACACCATATTATTCACTAGAAAATTCAATTACATATTGAATTTTAAATTTCAGGTACATCTAGGTGCGGTGTCACAGTACAGATCCACACACTTGTACATTACATGCCCCAGGCCCGAGGATTTGGAGGATGCTCGTCCTCGACCCATGGAATACAAACGGGACCACATCCTTGGCTCATCAAGGATCTCGATCTAAGCTCATCAAGACGCTCGTCCGATATTATGGCGGGAAACTAAGATATTGGCGGGAATCAAATTTAATGCAAGAGATTGGGTGGTTGGGAAGTCATCCAACCACCATCCTCCACATCAGCAGCATCACCTAGCTCATGGTAGTATAAATAGTAGCATTTATTTCATTGTAAGGGGTTGACAACTTATTTTCCCTAGCAAATAGCAATTATCTTAGCCCTTAACATTGAAATAGACGAACGACCTCTCGACTTGTAGTTGAAGTGCGTTGTATACGAACTCTTATTATCATTTACTAAGATACGACCCACTTACTACTTTTGTTATCGACTCATCTTACTTGCTTGCATCATACATCCATAAAACTCTCCACTCGAAACCCATTGGAAACGTGTTGAGCCTTTGGGTTGAAGGAATAAACCTCAACACAAACCTTTAATACTGAAACTGTCCTTGTACCTCCGACCTGGTACCATACTAGGTCGGTTGGTCGGTTCTTGATCCGAACTAAATAATTAACAGATTTTGAAATTGGGTGCATGCGTACTTGTGATGAGTAGAGGATGAATGAACAAAAAAATAAATATTTGGGGGAAGAAAAGAAAATAATACAGAACAAATGTAGGTAATAATGAGGTAAAAGTGTACAACAATCAATTGTTCTATAGTCCAATTAGAATGAATGAAAATTTGAATACACCTAAACTTTTTTACTTTTAAAAGTTGATTTGCAATACACCTAGACTTTTAAAATTCGTAAGCTTTTAAAATTTTGAAATTAATTCCATATAAGACACATCTCATTACCTTTTTAAAGATTTTTTGCATGTTGACTTACCTATTATATCCTTATTACAAAAGGATATTTACTCCTACTAACAAAGAAAAAATGAGGTGTAACTTAGTAAAAGCTTCTCCAATGCTAAAATGTGCACGGTGCACATGTGACATGAAAGATGACCACATAAATATTGGTAAATAAATTATTTCTCTCCTTATTTGAATGATTTTGTTCATTTTTGGTAATTCTTTTTAACAATGTCAACTACAATGTCTACATCTAGATGGTTTCCTTGACATTACAGAGAAAAACTTACCAAAATTGTATAAAATCATTTAAATAAGGAGATAGATAATTTACAACAACATCCAACAACAACAACATCCAAGCCTTAATCCCAAAAGAATTTGGGGTCGGCTAACATGAATCGATCTATGATATCGATGCCAAAAAGAGAAGGCGGACAAGAAAAGGAAAAAAAGTAAGATAAAATGAATAAAATAAAGATACATAAATATAAGATAACAATAACACAAGAATTAAACCAAGATAAAAGAAAAAGAAATAAAAGAACATAAAAAAGCTAGAAGAGAAAAATAACATAAGAATATAAAAAGATAAGGAAGATAAGCGGTAAAAGAAACAAGAGAGGAAAGGTAGACAAGACATCAATCGTCCACATGGATGTGCGCCCTCCACTTTGCTCTCTCCAAGGCCATACTCTCATCCAACCCAAGGAGATAGATAATTTATTTAATAATATTTATGTGGTTATCTCACATACCACATGTGCACCGTGCACATTGTCTCATTGGAGATGCTCTAAATGAAATGTGGAAGAGTTGTTATTTCATAATTAAATATTGTCAACAATGGAAGGTGAGAACTTAATTGAGAATTGAAGAGAATAATAACACTCTCTCCATATCCAAAATGGCCAAAAGGTTTACCAAATTTTCTTATTCGATCGTCTAAAAAGATTTGATACACTTTCTTTATTTGATCTCTTAAATTATTTTTATTTCTTTTATACAAATTTTAATCGCACAATTTTTATCGAGTAATACACGATCGAAAGCTTTGTACTGATCACACTTTTTAATTACATAGTATTCCCTCCGTCCCCAAAAAGTTCGACAAATTGACTTTCTCGGTCAATGACAATCATCTTTGACTAATTATATTTTTTAATACGAAATATTTTGAATATGAAAGTTATATCAAAATGTTTCTTATTCAAAATATTTTCATAACAACAACAACATCCAAGCCTTAATCCCAAAAGAATTATTCAAAATAATTTTACAAAAATATAAAATTTATAAATTATATATAAATATAATATTTAAAGTCATGATCCAAAGTTTATCATTATTGACCAAGAAAAGTCAATATGACGAACATTTTGAGTACCATTATTATCTAGTATCTACTCCGTATAGTAAATGCGATGAGTATTAGTGGACTTGGTTCGGGCCACCCGGCCCGGGAACCGGCCTGGCCCGCTACTGTGCGAGACCAGCCCGGCCCAGTTCTTCGGGCCCAAAACCGGTCTAAAGCCCGGTTATTTAGGCTGAGCGGGGCGGGCTCGGGTTGGTAAAAAGGAGGCACGGCCCGGGCCCGATTCGGGCCAAATTGATTTTTTTTCTTCATTTTTTTGTGCTCCACCCGGGTTGGGCTTGATGTTTAGGAGGGGTTTTGGGGGGTGGGGGTGAGAGGGGTGTCAGGGACAGATAGGTAAGCAAAAAAAAACAAGCTCGAGGCTCGGCCCGGACCCGGTGGCTACCCGGACCAGTCCCGGGTCCACCTATTCAGAACTGCCGGCCCGCCCGAATCCACCCCTAGCGACGAGGATGGTTACGTGAATAGTATAGGCGGAGGACAATCACATTGAAACCGAACCACATTTTATATTATTTTTTTATTATATAAAATAGTACTCCGTAGTACGTAGTATAGATTATTGATATAGATGAGAATCATGTTTCCGTAAGAACCATGAGGTGGTTTTGGATTTTCATCTACACGAACGTACGTACAGTCGTACACCTTCAATTAATAATAAATGTTCTTCACTAAGATATGCTAACTCCATTTCACTATTACATTCATTTGAATTCAGGGATTTTTTGAGAAAATAATTTTTTGATTGACTTTCTAAGTACCCTTCCTAAACAGTGTCATAAAGAAAATTACTCCGAAATAATTAATGAATAATTATGTTCCTTATTTGAACACAAAGTTGGTAGAAAATTAAAAGGCGTACTACTCCATAAATATCACTTTTAAACATAAATTTTTCAGATAAACTCTACCTTATAAATTATAAATATTAAATAGTACTACATAAATTTTCCAGAAAAGAGGGAAAGTCAAAAGCTAGTTGAGTTTAATTTATGAAAGTGTTTATATTTTAAAACAATCGAAGAAGGAAAGTGTATATTGTAAAATGAGATTAACTTGGGAGAGAATATCACTTTTTAGAATATATAAAATCCGAATACAAGTTGAACTCAGCTCAAGTCAAATTATATATATATTTTAGGGAAAAATAACAAAAATGCCCCAACTTTGAAGGGGTGTGAGGTAAATACCTCAAAGTTGCATATGTAATCTAAATACCCTAAACTTTAAATAAAAAGTTATTTTTGCACCATTGTCTTGTATTATTTCTTTCAAAAATGTAAATTTATGAGGTTAATTGCATAATTTAGAAATAGAAAATTAAAAGTGTTGCAATTATATAGATCGGGGGTAACATTATTTATTTTCTAATGCAAGCTTAAAATGTTAATTGTGTCTTCATGAATTCTAAAATATTTTAAATTATGCAATTAACACCATAAATTTTACATATTTGAAAGAAATAATAGTTGTTAGGATGCTAAAATAACATTTTATATAAAGTTTGAGGTATTTAAATTACATGTGCAAGTTTGGGGTGTTAATCTCACACCCTTCAAAGTTTGGAGTATTTTAATTGTTTTTCCCTATTTTTTAATTGAGCTGAACCTCGAGTTGAACTCAAACTCGACTCTTCCTTGTCAAGGGCGACTCGATCTAAGCCCAATCCGAGCATCCTTTTGAACACATATATTCAAAGATAATCACCTGCTACATTTTTTCCCCTTTCTTTCTTTCTTTCTTTCTTTCTTTAGTCAGCCGCCAACTATCTTTCATTGCAGTTGGATCAAGTTTGAGAAGCTAGCTAGCTGCTTTGCGTGTAAACGAGCAAGCAAATCAAACAATAATGAGGCAAATGAAGACATTATTTGTATATGTTCATATTGGAGAAGAAGGTAATATGATGCAGCAGCTTCTGGTGAACAGAGACACTGCCAGCCTGGGATATTGGTTGGACTGGAGAGTCTTCTTCTGTGGAACAATGGTCATCTTCTTCATGTTTATAGCATTCTTTCTTTTATGGAAATATGAATGGTTAGCTGGGAAGGATGACTCTGGTGGCCAATATGCCAACGATCAGCGGCAGTGGGAAGAGGAGAAAGCTGCAGCGGCGGCGGCATGGAGGCCTTGTGTGAAAGAAGTAAACCCATTCTGTCTGATGGCTTTCCGTTTGGTTTCTTTCTGTCTACTCTTAGCGACATTCTCTTGTCATGTGGTAGTTTATGGAGGCAGCTTGTTTTACTATTATACCCAGTAAGTTCATCATCTTGCTCAAATTCATTCATAGTTACTTGGCCTCTCATCTTTTTGTCCTCATCCCTCTCACCATCCCTATACTATTGCACATTCATACATAATTTGTAGACAAAATGGTATATCTAGTCCCATAATTTATGTACATGCCTATTTTAGTGCTATAGCTAATAACTTTGCGATATCAAGGATCTTTCCACCACAATGTACAACTCCCAGGCTCGCTCCCAGCAGTGAATATTTACGCTAGCGATGACTTTTCAGGTCTACTTGTTTTGCAGTAAAAAATCTTCAATATGTCAAATTTATTAGTTAAAGGATTAGATTTGCACGTGAATTACGGGCACAATCAAAAGTTATGAAATTAAAAGAAAAAATCTATTATAATTTGCACCAACTATTCAAGCTAGACTTGGGCAAAAGCAATGACTATTCTATGTATATAATCGGCTGGGAACACCTCATCATGTATATATTCATTTTTATTTATATTTATATCTATTCTATGTCGGATCACGACCTAAAAACACCATTCACATAAGTAGAGTTTAACTGCGAGAAACTTATTCCCTAAACAGAAATAACACATAATTAAGTAATGGACCACCACCCCTTTCCCCCACAAAACAGAACTCATAATTAATTATTTTTATTCCTTTATTAGGACTACTAAATAAGTGACACTTTGGAAATAAATTAAACATAATAAGGAAGCTTTATCTATACTTTCCTCTCATTTTAAACATTACTCTCTTGTCACCAACCAAAAAACGAAAAAACCCCACTAAACACATACTTAAAACGAATTACCTTTCTTAATTGTGTATCTGTTGATGGTACCCTCCCTTATTTAAAATTTTGCTGGTTTTGTTGTTTGTGCACATGCAGGTGGACTTTTACTTTGGTCACCATTTACTTTGGGGTAAGTAAGACTGCATCCTTGCATTTATTTGCCAACCATAGAAATATATTTAACAGAACGGTTCCAATGGATGCAAAAGTTGAAACCGAAAATGCCTGAAAAATAGGAGTAAAAACGTATGAGAATCCCAAAACAGGAGTACATCTTACTTGAAGTAGGAGTACATCCTACTTTTAGAAGTAATTAATACTACATTCTTCCCTTAAAGAGCTAGCAGCTAATTTGAATAGCATGCACTTTAAGGAAATATTTTTTTACTTTACATGTTGAAATTCTCTTTTTACTTGGGGAAATTTAGTGTGGAATATACTACTTCGACATTGTACAGTCATTACTAGAGTAAATTATTAGGAATTTATTTACCAAATAAATAAAGATAATTTTATTTATGGTCGTCGAGAACAGGAAAGTAGGAAGTAATTTAAGAGATGCGAGGGAGTAATAAATAGATACAATGGTGATGATTTTTCGTACTTTGTAGTTTGGGTCAGTGCTTTCGATGTATGGATGCTCCCAGTACATAAAAGCAACGATGACAGTTATTAATGATGATGATGATAGATGGAAGGAAGGGTTAGAAGATAAGCTTCTTATTACAGAAAGCGCAGGAGAATACTGTAATGGTGACCATCATCATCATGTCATCAAAAGAGAACTAACTGACGATTGCCACAAGACAGACATGTACCCAGAGAGAGCTGCACTTCTTTGTGGCTATGTGTTTCAAGTTCTTTTCCAGGTATGCATAAATAGAGTTGTTATATATATAGGATACAGTTCCAATAAAAAGCCGTCTTTCTCTGCAAAGTGCCAACGACTCCACTTTTGATCATAACACTTCCTGTATAGATGATTTTCGGCATCCACTTTTAATCATTTACGATACACTATTGCACACAGGAATTCCATTTTTTCAAAGAAGAAAAACTTTGATTTTTTAAAATGTCACCACGTTTTTTATCCACTTTAATGTATTTTTAATATATTTAGAGTTATTAGATCTTAGATCTGATGCACCATATTTATTCTTATTTTTCATGAAAAGAAGACTTTTTATTTGATCTAATATATATATATATATATATATAGAGAGAGAGAGAGGGGGGGGATTCTGAAGCCTTGAATTTGGATATTGTGCACTATGTGAAACATAAATGTGAACAATCATAAATTAGAAAATGCACATTTCAAATGTGCACTATTTTAACCACAAATGTGCACGTCTGAAATTAACATTATTTTATCTGTAAATGTTCTCATTTCTCACGATTAGAAGTGTCCTCATCTAAACCGGACCTTATATATATACATGAATATTCATGTGCAATCAGTTTGGAGAGGGATCACTGTCCGGTCACCTCATTTTGAGGTGGTTCCGGGTGGAATTTTTTGATGAAATTTTATGAGCATGTTCTCCATGAAGTTTAGATTATATCCACCAAATTTCAACTAAAAAACAACCGAGAAGTCAATTAAATAAATTTTTGAAAAAATCTGCTTTTTTTAAATATATATTTTGGCCCAGTTATTTTCCAAAATTTATTCCGGACATGAATACTACTCTATCTCTATATATACACACACATATACACAGTTACACACACATACATACGTAGCTTGTGCCGTCCAAACTCCCCATACATAGTATAGTGCAATATAATATAGTATATGGAGTTGAGATCTTTCATTTTTAGTTTTTCCACTTCAAAGCAGGAGGAACAAGCATTGCCTCGGTACAACTGTATTGTCTTCCTTACAATCCAACGTTGTATACTTGTATAGTGTTGTACATTAGGAAAAACCGTAGATTTAGTCTTCTAATCTAAATTATACGTAGTATATGTTTATTTGCATGATACTAAGGATGTTTTTACTTGGACTGTTTTCAGTCCCATACCAGACTAGACCATACCAGACTTAAACAGACCAGACCTGACTTCCACGGTTATAAAATACACAAAGACTAGACATTTACCAGACCAGATCGGACTTAAACAAACCAGACCAGACCAACAAATTTCAGTTCAAGTAAAAACATCCTAAATCAATGAATCTAGTGACTGGCACAGTACCGGCCAAGAGATCTGCTGATTTAGTTTAATAGTTGCACACTGTTCACTGTTTAACTATAATATGTCTATTTGCATGGGAGCATGCATGCAGATAGGTGGTGGAGCAGTGGTGCTTACAGATATAGTCTACTGGTTCGTCATTTTCCCCACTCTCGATGATTCTGACTTGACTTTTGTAAGTAAGGGCATGTCTGTATTGCTGCCTGTGTTAATTTACCACGTTCATGTACTGTGCGTACTTCCATTCGATCTATCCTTGCTAGCCCTCACGTGTATACGATCGGATGACGATCCATGTTCTTGTTTCATCCGTTACAGCTGACAGTAGTTGCACATACACTTAATATGCTGCTTCTTGGCGATGCATCTCTTAATTGCTTGGTAATTATTTAAAAGTCACGTTACCTACTAACCTCCATTTCTTGCTACACACTCCCTCCGTCCCTCAAAACTTTGCCAAGTTTGACCGGCATGGGGACTAATAAAGTATTATTATGTATAATGCTTCTTCTAACCTTCTCTAATATAAGTTAAAATAAGAATTCTGTGACTGCATATATATAATTTGCTTTTGAATGTCTTCCCAGCCATTCCCATGGTTCCGGATTGCTTACTTTATTTTCTGGACTGCTGCCTATGTTTTATCCCAATGGATTGTTCATGCTTTTCAATCTATTTGGTAATTAATAGCCTCTCTGATCTCATATATATTTTCATTTTTATGATTTCTGAAACTCCATATATGTTCCATCTTCACTCTTCTAATATAGCTATTCCATTCACTTCTTATCTTTCAGGTGGCCTTACCCTTTTCTCGACTTATCAACCCCAAATGCTCCCCTCTGGTATGCTGAAATTTTAATTCCTTAAACATATATGATATATGAGTATATTATATAATCTGAACAGCAAAGTATATCCAGATAATAATAACAATATTTTTTTTGACAAGATATAGAGTTTAGATTACTGCACACTGATAAATCCAAATATAATACGAAGTATAACAATTTGGTCTTAAAAAATGCAGAGTTCAACTTGTTTAAAAACTCTCTTCTCTTTCCTTGTTTAATCAGTCAATTCTCAACACTTAAAATTTAATCAATTGCTAAACACGTTAAATTTAATCAATTCCTCACAATCTTAAGCCAAATGGATAATAAACTGTATGAAATATTTTCTACAGATGACAACAAAGATGAAGTAAATCATAAGACAATGAGACCAAAAAGTCAAATGAAGCACTTTTTTTTTGTAACTCGGTCATTATGTTATACTCCAATCACGATCGAGGAATCTACTATGTCTAGAAGTAGGAATTCAGTCATTCACGCTTCAGAAAATGAACTCGAACTATAGAACAAAAGATCAGATGAAGGACAAGAGAGAGTTTATTCAGAGGAGTGATTAACAATCTGCCCTTTCCTTCTCTATCGGCTAGTATTATATACGAGCTAGCTATTACAAACTAACACAAGCTAACAACTAACAGAAACTAGCTGTAACTTCCATACGGTTTTAACTGTTTGATGGATAGTGTACCCGGGGGTAGCTTATCCGAGGGGTTATTGCGGAGAATAACTAGAGAGAAGTCAGAGCAAATAAGTAAGAGAGAGAGTGTATATTCGATATGTATTAAGCGTGGTTTACAATGGGGGAAAGGGGTGCTATTTATAGTAGTAATAAATGCTAGATAAGGACACGTGTCAATTTTCTGGTGGTCGAGGGGTCGCCTCGACCGGGGTGGCACTGGCACTCACATGTGGCCGCATTAAATGTGGTGGTTGGATGTGACGTTTGTACTTGGTACGGTGATCCAGGCGCATGTGAAGAGGATATTATGTCGAGGTGGATGCCTTCGGCTGAAGGGTGCTGGGCCGAAGGCTCTTCTAACCGAGGGCTCCTACCTGCCGAGGGCTGCAGGTGCCGAAGGCTTGGTTTTCAAGCCTTGTTCTCCTGTGATGCCTCTTCTAACCGAGGGCTCCTACCTGCCGAGGGCTGCAATTGCCGAAGGCTTGGTTTTCAAGCCTTGTTCTCCTGTGATGTTTCTGAGCTCGATTCCGTCACTGGTAGCCTTCGGCCATGGGGCCGAAGGCACCCCTTTGCGTATTGTGGGCTGCTTAGAGCTCCATTTTGCTGGGTTTGGCCCGTTTGGGCCTGATTGTAGTAGAGGAAGTATGTGGGCCGGGGGTCCCTGGGCCATATACTCCATCAGGAGTCCCCCACTCTTTTTGCCGAAAGGTACTTGAGGGAAAAGGAATAGCTATGGTGATTGCCCCGAAGGCTTCCCTGTTCTGTTGGGTGCCTCATTTTCTCAATTCCCCCATATGTCGAGGGCTGAGAGCTTCCTGAAGGGAGTGTAAGTGTGTTGCTCGTATGTGTTTCTTTGTTGTAGTTTGTAAAGTAATGAGAGATCTGCATGTGTGGCCGAAGGCATCATGTGGCCGAAGGCATCATGTGGCCGAAGGCATCATGTGGCCGGAGGCATCATGTGACCGAAGGCATTGTGTGGCCGGAGGCATTCTGTAAGCCGAAGGCATCATGTCGAGGGGAGTAGATTGACGTTATGATCTTGCCTCAGCTTGCTGTAGCTGAGAAATAGAAATTTTTTAACATTTGCGTGTTTTGCCGAGGGGAGTCCCCCAGTCCCCCACTCCTTTTGCCGAGAGTTTCTAGAGGGAAACAGGAGTAGAGTGATGCATGCCTTCAATAGGAGCCGCCGAGGGGTGACGCCTTTTATTCCACAATGGGGAGATGCCTCGTTAAAAAACTCATTAGGAAAAAACCCTCCGGGAAAAAATCCTAATGAGGGAAAAAGAGTACACCGGATGCCCTCAGAATGAAGCAAAAGGAGTGCACCCTTCGGCCTTGATTGTTGAGCGGCGGTTGTGTCCGTCTGCTGAGGGGATATCCAAGATCAGCCTTAGATCCTGCATGAAAAGGCTAAGGAGCTTGTAAGGACCCTCCCCCCCCCCCCCCCCCGTTATCAAATAAAGGTTACGGAGGGGTGCAAGGCCAGGTGGGCTTGTGTGAGAGCCCCTGGCATCAAATACAGATGTCGGAGGGATGGAGACCGAGGGGTCTTCGTGATGGCCCCCGACATCAAATAAAGATGTCGGAGGGATGAAGGCCGAGGGGCCTGTATGATAGCTCCCGACATCAAATAAAGATGCCGGAGGGCTGAAGGCCGATGGCCTGTGTGATGGCCCTCGACATCAAATAAAAATGTCGGAGAGATGAAGGCCGATGCGTGTTCCTTCTTCCAGGCTTCGGCCGAGGGGGTTGCTTTCCCGCCTCGGCCGGAAGGGGGTCCAAGTGATCTGTCCGGGGGTTCGTCCGTTAGTCCCCCGGCGCTGAACCGTCCCTTGATTGTGCCAAGAGGTCGTATGTTAGTCCTCCTGATGTGTGTTCTTTCTTCCAGGCTTCGGTCGAGGGGGTTGCTTCCCCGCCTCGGCCGAAAGGGGGTCCAAGTGATCCGTCCGGGGGTTCGTCTGTTAGTCCCCCGGCGCTGAACCGTCCCTTGACCTTGGGGGTCCCGTCGTCTATTTATGGCGCGGGCTAGGCTTGGTCGGTTTCCGACGACTGCCGTTTCACCCCCAAGTTTGGGGATTTCGTCACCTCAGCCATTCTTTCAGGCTTGTCGCCGTGCGTTGCGCGCCGGCGACGCGGTGAGCGTCCCGCTCCAAAAACGTGGGCCTTTTGCAGGCCCCTCGTCTTTAGACTCCATCGGCCATACCTGGGCATTTGGCCTCGAAAGGGCCGATAAGATGTCTGGATTGTGTTGTAGTTTACTTAAATTCATAGAAATAAGCGGAATACAAAGGGTGCGTTGTTTGACAACGGCTTTGTTATGATTCACCGCTCAAGGCCGAGGGCTCTAGGCCGAGGGGATGATAATGTGCCTCGAGGTCGAGGGCCCAAGGCTGAGACTAACGCCGAAGGCGAGGAACATGATTAGCGGAGGTGGCGCTTCTTCGGCTGGGGCTCCTCGAACTCCTCGCTGTCGCTGAGCCTCCCGATTTCATGTCCCCTTCTTCTTTATCGGTGTTCTCCCCGGTGTTTTTATGTTGGGGCATTTTTTATGAATTGGTGGAGCTCACCCCGTTGAATTAAGAGTTCAATAGCCTTCTTTAACGAGACACCATCGTCTGTATTGTGGGAGGTGCTTTTGTGGTAACGGCAATAAGTGTCGCCTTGGTAGATGGCGTAGATCTCCCTCGCCGACCGAGGATCCTTGGGGAAAAGGTCCTGCTCTTCCGCATAGTTGAGGATAGTGCTCACCGGGTGCGTGAGGGGAGTCCTCGGCATTGTCCAGCCGAGGGCGCCATTGGCGTTCGTTACGGCCCTGCTGGGTGTGGCTTCCATGGTCTCGGCCTCCAGCCGAGGGCGCATTTGGGGCCGACGTGTTGTTTGTCTTCTTCGAGGGCTGACCCTCGTTCTTCTTGAAGGAGTGGAGGTCGTCGGCGTCGGCGTATAGGCTCCCCCGCTGGAGTGCTCTGAGTATGATCTTGGGGGGTCGGTGATGAGGCTCTGTGCGTAGGGGTTGCTGCGGAGAACCCCCTGGAAGAGGACAAGGAGGGTACGCTCGTCGGCGCCCTCGACCTCGTCTGTCTCCTTCATCCACCGGTCAATGAAGGACCGAAGTGTTTCGTCAGGCTGTTGCTTGACGGAGAGGAGGTGGGAGAACTGCTTTCTCGCGCGCTTCCTTCCGGCAAAATGGGTGAGGAAGCGTTAGGCAAGATCTTGCCAAGAGTCAATGCTGCCCTCGGGCAATCGGTTGAACCATTCGTATGCTGGTCCCTCCAAGGTGGAAAGGAACCAACGACATAAGTATTCATCTGATGCCCCCATCATCATCATGCTGTTTTGATACCTGTTGTAGTGCTCCTGGGGGTCAGTTTTTCCTTCATAGGGCTTGATGAGTTGCCCTCGGTACTTTTCCGGGATTTGGGCCGCCAATACCCTTGGGGTAAATGGCGTCCTAGTTCGGAGTTGGATGACGGGTTCCCCGGAACCTTCGGCAAATTTCCTTTGCATCTCCTCCATTTTGGCCAGCATGGCCTCATATTTAGAATCTGCATGAGGGGCAGCAACGGCGGTATGTGCTTGACGGGCCTCCATTTCATCAAGCCGGTGCTGGAGGGCCGCAATAATTTCGTCTCTGGTGTCCTTCGGGAGGGCCTCCGCCCCCTGCGAATGGCCATGGGCCGAGCGGGCCTGGTTGATTTGATGTCGGGTGTCGTCGGCATGGAGGGGTGCTTTGCCTTTATCCCGAGGGGGAAGCTTCTCATCTGCCCTGGAGACGGATCCGCCACTTTCCTGAGGTCTTTGGAGCACCTTTCCGCCGAGGCGGTCTTGGACCCCTCGGCGGTCTAGCGCCCCTCCGAGTCTCTCGAGGGCGAAGGTCCGGTGCCTTTCATTGTTTGCGTCGTGGCGGTCCCGGGATTGGACTTCCTGAGAGGTGGTGTCCTGGGCCACAACCCTCTTGTTGTTCCCTAACCGAAGGATAGGGTTTTCACGAAGGGGAGCGGAGGAGGGGGGAGAATGGCGTTCTCCCCGACCTGCGGCTGAAGGGGTACCAGCGTGCCGAAGGCACCTGGGTTTTGAGTGAGAGTTTGGATGAAGGCGGAGAACGCTGATTGTACGTCAATGGTGAGAACCGGAGGGCTCATTTGGTTTTCGCTCCGGTCCTTCTTTTTGGCCTCGATGCCAAGGCGGGCATCGGGGGCATTATGTTGGAGCTGAAGGCGCTGGTCGACAGCCGTCTGTTCCAACCCAGCGAGGGCGCCGCCCTCGGGAGCTATGTTAGAGGTTTCGAGGGCGTCGACGTCGCCGAGGGCCAGGT